TTCAGGTCGAGTATTAATCTCGGGTGTTCTTGATGTGATAACTCCAGGATATGACAAAGACCTGCGGTCTTATTGAATAGGTTGACCTTACCTCTCTTAGTATCGACGATTGCTATCGATTCGTCCGATTGTAATGAACGACAATTTGCAGTTATTCTCGGTGTTTGACAAAGATCGAGAAACTACTCACTAGGCAGTATTGAAGAATGCCATCCGTTCACACCAGCTCGGAGTCCTACAAGTCTTATTGAGTTTTCTCGTCAGACTTCGGAGTATAAACCGATTAAAATCCGATATAGGCGATAGTCCCAGCCTCGCTTCATTATTCTTAAAGAGCGTGATCATGTTCAATGGAAGGGATATGTGTTGGATAATATTACTCGTTCTAAAATAGTTCGCGTCAGCGTTAGATGCGTATTTGTGAGGATCATCCTCCTATAGACTAAGATTAATCATGCCTGCTCACTTCTTTCCGGATCAATCGCCGCGTCTCAAGGAACTTTCTACACGACATTCAAAACATAAAAGACTATAAGGGAGACCTGAAGTAATACACCAAGTCCATAACGAGTTTATTCAGTTCCATATTTATACTTAGATACCTAGGAGGCCCGTCTTCAAATGTAGTGCGACTCCCGGTACGCTCCTTCTTTATTAACTTGACTTTATTCGTTCTGTCCTCTAGCATTCGCCATGCATAGAAATCGACGAGTTTATATGTGAACCCGGTTGCAATTTGACGAACCATAGACTTCTCCTCTCACCGTCATACCGAATTCTGGCTCAGTATAATTTTCTCTAGAAACTCTTGAAAACCTCGCTAGGGAGTTTCCAGGTCTTCACCACAGGTATTTGCCATCCTTTGTAAATCAGAAGGAAGTTTACTGACCTGAGACACGGATTCCTCCACAGAAGCGCTGATTTTCGTGGATGCAGCCAACTCTGCGAATATTCGTTCCATCGACCGCTTGTAGACTTTGTAACAAGGTGAATCTCACATTAATAAGCTGTTTATTCCCCACGACCGACTTTCTGCTAACCTCGACATTGGCGAAATAATTCTCTATATTCTTGTTGAGTAAGCAGAAGATATTATTTCGTCAGTATCGCCTTCTTCAGAGCCCGGAAGACTGTACTGATATGCAATTTATTATGCAAAACGCTTCAATAGCACAAATTGAAAGATGAAAACCTCAATGGTAATCATCTCGCAAAACCCACAGTTTGAACAGCTGCTTAGAATCGTGTATGGTTGATGAGTATACCATTCCACATCAAAAGTGTATCCGAAGATACGGGGCTGAATTACGTGTAATCGCTGGGCATTCCTTCTTGCTATTTATTCTAGAGTTTTTGGCATTTATCCAAAAAGCCTCAAGAAGTTTGCTCGCTGTCGTTTGCCTTCCTTTGCGAGGACAGTAACTTCGATATCAAATTCGTCTCCGGTATGCTTTTGTATCCTCTGCGTCCCTAATGAGGTTCTTTGCATTGCTTTTCGTTTGCCATCTAGGTGTTCCTTTATACGAATACATAATTTTTTGCCCATCTCGCCAAAGTATTCATATCGGGAAGCATTATAAGAGATCAGGCATACCATACCTGAATTCATGCAATCACACTCCCTGCAATAAGGGCAAATTATCCAATTCTCTGTTCCACTCAGACGGTCATGCAAGCGGTTACGAACTAATTGACGACGAAGAGGATCCTTATACTACCATTTCTTGCCAATTTTGTGGATGGCAAAGTACGATGAAACCATAAGAACAGATAACATACTCTTTTTGCGGAAAAAAGAACAACGCAAGCTTAAGGCCTCTTTCAAAATGTTTATTATCGCATAACGATAAAAATTTGAGCGTCTAGTTAGTTTAGAGACTTTCTATAGTTATTAATCGATGACACGAGTTCCCTGGTTTCCGCAGAAATCCTAGGAGCACTGGTTTAAGGAAATATTCAGCGAGTGTCCTTCTAATAAAACGCTTAACAAGGCTCTAAAGTCTTAAGGATCTCAGATGTAATTCTTGTTTCACGCTCATTTCGGCATTTTCATGGTCGTTATACTTGTTTGTTTATTTCTACTACTACTTAATTACTATTGTCGTTAACAATATTATTATCATAACTGGCAAGTCGTTATTGTTAGGGTAATAGTAATACCACTCTTTCTTCATTTGAGAGACTTCAAGCTATTCCGTCGGCTGGCCATATGGCGTGCGCGAGATTTAGGTATCCCCAAATAAGGGATTAAAAGTGGTCCGTAGAACGCTATGTAAGTGCTCTTCGAGGTGGATAGATCTTTACCTAATGGTCTTCCGGCGCCAGACTGACTTATGTATTCCAGATACTCCTAAGCATATTCATAACTAGCTGGATAGATATGCTTCTGGCTATGAGGAAACAACCGGAATCCCAATTCGGTTAAATCTGGAAACGAATGGATGCAGCATATATGGAAAGCGGTTGGGGAACATCTTCTATTACTAATCATCACATTTACTAATTTATTCTGTTGTAGACTGACTATTCATGAGTTTACTACGTTGTCCAACATGAAAAAAGGAGACAAATTGCCAGAAGCCATATGCATATTGTTTCATGTCTACGAAAGAAGACGAATTAGTCGGCACACCTTACCACAGCGTAGTACCTATCACCAAGAGGTTTTACCCAGATCTCGTCTATACACAACACTTTTTGTTGTACCGTAATACACTCGTCAGAACGAAGCGATCGTAGATTCTTAGTGGATTTCTTTAATCCTTGCAAGTAGGCAATACCAGTTGTGAATCTGTTTTGGATTACATTGTGACGTGTAATCGGAACACTGCTCGATCTTTTCCGAGGAAAGATTCAATTTTAAAATGCCGTAGGAACACCATGCATAATGGGTATAGCGTGGTACACCTCAATAGCTGACCTTTTACAGAACTCTCCATAAGGATCCCTGAAAGACAGATTCCCTGCAAATAAGACGGATTTTTTGCGGTTTTCTATGCACAACTCATTTTAATTTCAGCCTTCCAATCCAGAGCACTTCCAATCTTTTGTACTCCTACTGAAGTTCTTTCGTAATGATTTGTAGAAAAGTGCTGCGTGATATGGATTTAGAAACTTGGACATTTTCACATTCTCGGCTTAGCTAGGACTGACCGAGTTCTGGTTATTGCTGACAGGAAGGAGAGGGGTACGATTTTCTCCGGTGCTAGAGGACCAGAAAAAGAATGATTTGATGAGAATGCATAAATTATTTAATGGACGACAAAACATGAGACAGATGGGCGCGGGGAGTTAAAATAAGACTGCAAATAATTATTGATAAGACCCTCTGCGCGAGGATGACGTCTTGTTATGTTTCAAATATCTTATACTACTGCCTTTCTATCGAGGCAGTTAGATGATGCATAATTTGATCATCGGTAGCGAAAAGCTTCGAAGAACGTGTGAAACCGGTTCCCACGCTGACGTCTTTGTTCGGAACTGCCATGCCCGATTCTCCACACACCTCAGCGTTATTCGAAATCCTCATTGCAATTTATGCGGGACTATTATTTAACCCTTCGCTTTCAAAGAAAGTTCTAAACCATTATGCTCATTTTCAACACTATCTGAAAGCATAGACATTACTTAACACTTCTATTTTAATATCTGCGTTTCCATTTCCATTTTTGTTTAATTTAAGTGTTCAAATAAAAATCCGCTAAAGGCAAATCCGATTCTTTATTGTAAACATGAATTCTGCACGGGATTTTCTACTCACGAATTAATACTTGAACGCAAAGAAGTGGGAACCACCGGTAAAACTGACTTACTCAATCAACACGAAACCGTTAATGAACGATCTCGAGATGTGAAGATATAAGTAAACTCGGAACCCCAGATGAGCTTCGAAACCTCGATTACCCTTTCCAGGAGCTTAGGTGTTATATATTGCACTATCGATGCTCTTGCTTTGCCCTTCTCTTAACCAGTTTTAATCCCAACAGTGCTACCAGCAACCATCCCTAAACGAGAACGATGTGGGAGCAGTTTAAAATACATGAATACATTCCTTGAAGCAGATACACAAGCCACGGATCTATAACTAGTGGTACACTAGACGCAAGCAAACCAAGTTCTAGAAGACGTCAACCGAATTGGGCGATCCAGAACCTCGACAATTATTTACTGCATGAAGTGAACGAAATCACCACAAAAATACCACCACAATGACATATGTCCTACGCTTCTTCCTCTTAATCACACCATGCCAGATTTTCATTTAAGAATTATGACGTCCTTTCAATGCAACGTAACAGATGGGGTCTCCATTAATTTCTTGCAATTGGCGATAGCATCCACTTATAACAGCTGGACTACCAGACGAATAATTTCATTAGATCCTCCATCACTTCCATGTTCAATTCACGACTAAATGGTTAATGCCAGAGACATCATTGGTATAAGTTTGAAGTCCACAAAAATTCACCAACATCATCCAGTTGAGTAAATCCACCATATCAGCGTAGGATCGAGCCTGATACCGTTTAAATGCAGTTGTAATTCTTTACACTACACCACATCCACTATCGGGATAAACTCTGGCATATCACATATCATATAATATCATTCTGGCAGTAGTAGCCCAATTCAATACTAACGAAATAGGTTCACAGAAGGCACCAAGATAACATATAACTTCTTAATTCACCATACACAACTTCAAACATTTGCAACAGCAAAATACATCAGTTGAACATCACCTACTCTGCTGAACTCATAATCAACGCTGACTCCGTATAATAATTGCCAACAAAAACTTCAAGGTGTCAGGAATCAATCAGACATCTATCTTAGTTCCGCTCATTAATCAGTCAGATATGAATAATTTTAACGGAAAAATTGACATTCATAATCAAACAACAACAACAACAAAAACAAAAACAAAAACAAAAACAAATACAGGAATGAAAGCAACAAATCCAATGGGCAGACCGGAGCAAAAAAATGTATCCAAATTTCTAACTTTTCCCGAGTTCCTCAACCAGTAACACCGCACCTCGAAAAGTGTATTCCTTCAATTGCTTCATGTTCGTAGCCTGTTTTATTTTCTCTCGGACCACATTTGATCCACAATGCAGCATTTTTAATAATACATGACAACCCTGAAAGCTCGCATTTGGCAACTATATGAAACGCAGAAAGGACATGAGATCTGTACTTACTTTGTTACAAGCTATCCACGAACCCAGATCCTCCTTAGTCAGGTTATTCACAATTGCAACGGAAAGACGCTGTTCCTCCGGCAAAAACTTATCGGACCTAATACGAACAAAGGATAAGTTCATAACGTTGATTAATATCATTGGTACGCATCAACACACACTTTTAAATTCGCAGTTCTTCCTAAGGAGTTAAATCTTATTTGGCTTGAACAATGTACACATGAGGTCCGACGAAAAAAAAAAATCAACGTTTTAGCTTTCCTAGAGCAGTGGAACCAAATTATTGAGAAGGAGCTTAACTGGATGATATTTAGAGATCTATAAGCCTTGTGCGCGAAGGGCGCGGGCGCACGTGGCGCAGTGGTCGGAAGCGCCCTGTCATACACATGGAATTGGTTCCCCCGTTCCTGGCCCAACAAGCCTTCCATCCTTCCGGGGTCACCAAATTGGTACCAGAGTTGTCTATGAGGATAACAGCACTGGTTCGATACATCGGTAGGCCACCGCGGGTCACTGTAAAGACCAGATAAGCATCCAAACACCTCCAAGGATGTTTAATGAAGTCTAATGCATGGCGCATCCTTCAGGAATTGATCAACTTCGAGAGCTTTATCCTTTATATTAAGCCTTGTGCGCACGAAGGCTACCTATTTTCACCGTGCTACAAATGATTGTGTTTAACATACCTCAGTACAGCCATTAAAACAAAATGACCAGCAGGGTGCTCTATAAGATGAAGGCGTTGATTATCCATTGGAATAAACTCCTGAACATTTAAATTTTCGCAGAAGTAAGGCGTTTAAAACCCATATTACGAGAAAAACCTGTTTCGCTATTTCAACAAGAGCTTCGTTACATTTCTTACGCATCTGGACCGGTACTCGTCGGTCGAATAAGTCATAAGGACCTAAAAACGTCCCATTTAAGACTAAAGTGGAAAAACGGTAATAAGAAACTTACTAAAAAAAGTCTACTCACTTGTGCTCTCTAAACAAGCAGCGATGAATTTCGACCTATTACTCTCAAAAATCAGGGATTCCATATTTGCAGAAAGATAAGTGTATAGTGGATCACATATTTTCCCATATAGCTCCGCATAACGGTCCTTTTTTTCCTTCTTACTGAAGGGATTTAAATCGCCCTGGAAAACACATAAGTAATGAAGGGTAGAAAAACTGAAAAAAAAAGTTATGAAAAAAAAAGAATGCCATGAACAAATTACAGGAAATTAAACTTCATTACAACAATCAATTTCACCGAAATACGCATGTTTTTACATCTTAATGCTTTCAAAGATGACTTCAGTACTGAAAACACATGTGGCTCATAGAACTGCAGTAAGACAACCGAAAGACAATCAGAAACTTTACACTTTCAATGGACAGCGTGTTACTAGTTCTTCCAAGAGCGCTGCCAATTTCGCTTGGCAGCTCCACCAGACCGACTGTCACGGGGGCCGAACGAAACGCGCACTGAGATCAAAATGTGCGGTCTGTGAGCCTGTCAAAAAACAAGACATACCGGTTTCTTAAGGTTATCGCTAATCGGTTCCCCACAAATTTTCTGTCTCCTTAATTTCTCCATATCCGCTATGTTCTTCTGTATATGTTCCCATCTTCCTATGCTCTTGGACACCTGTCCTGTGTGCTTTAACATTCTTATGGAAAAAAGACGGTTCATCACCCAACCACTAAAGTACGATTTTCTACGATGTCTGAAGTAACTTCTGTGTCTTTTTCATGTTTTTTCTTTTACATCCAGCGGTTCCACTCCACCGTCTGAGAGCGGCTTCTTGAAAGTACAGCGGATTAAGAATAGCTATTCATTGACTAAAAAAGTCTAGAAAAAAAGCTCTGTGTGGCAAAATACGGCAAAAAAAGCAGACCCATTTAAATCAATATTTACCGTTGGAAACGTGCAGCAGTGTACACATCGAAGTCAATGCGCATGATTGCGAAAGGTTTAAGTAACAACAGCGCAGTAGGAACAGCTTTATTTTCTCTGATACAGAGCACACCTGTTTATCTGCAACAATGTTGCACAGTGCTGTTAAGCGTCCATTTACTTTTGACTCTCTGATTTTTCTTAGCTAAAGATTACGACGGTGAAAAAACATACAGAACCCGATACCGACAAGGTTACGGCCAGATGATCTCGAAAAGCTGCTTCCAGCTCCCGAATACAACACCGTGGCTCGGAGACTTACATGACATTGGAAGAGGTTTCGAAAATAAACTGTATTTACGACAAAGAAATCTAATGCATTGTTGCAAACAAGTGCGTGTAGCGCAATGTTCGGAGGCGCCTTGCAATCAATACATGTGGGATCGATTCCCGCCCCACGACCCACTAAGCCTTCCATCCTTCCAGGATCGGTAAATTGGTACCCGATTTGGCTAGGAGAATAGCGTCACTGGCTCCATGCATCGGAATGGCACCGTATGTCATTGTATAGGTCAGATATGCATTCCCAGCACGTTTACGGTAATCCTTATCAATACGAAAAAACCCCTCATTAGCTACAGAACCTAATAACTATTCTACAAAGACATTGCCGCAGGTGCAAAGAAAGGAATCCTACAGAGCGATATCATACACCTGACATTTGAATGGCACATTCTCACTGGTTGTGCGGGCCCCAGCATAATCTTCATCATTCTGAGATTTGCAGGTTAAGCCATTGTGGTTCCATGGAGTCCTAAGCAAAGCGTGGCCAAAACCTGCCCATGTCGTCACCACCACAGGAGGTCGCCGCCCTTGTGAATCAGTAGACTTGCCGTCGTGTGACTAGTTTGATGCCACGACGGTGGTGGATCCTGGTACTGGTTTACTCATAGTTGGACTTCTTGATGGAAACGCCGGACTCCTTATCAGCTTTGGAGACCCTGCCAGGGGATGAATCCCCTGCTATACATTGCAGTCCGACACCCAGGAACACCTCCCAGCCACGATGAGGAGGTAATGGGAGGAGATACGATGGGAGATCAGAGCGATATCACGCCACAAAATTATTAATAGCCGTTCTGGAGAAATTCGTGCTGAGAACTAGGTAACGCAGGTGTAAAAGTCGATGGCATAGAATTATACCCTTCGTTTTGTTATTGCTACGGTTTTCAATTCTGGCAAAGATCTATACATTCTAATGGCTTTTAACTCAATTAAAAAAATGAGATATGCTAATTCCTCTCAACGGTTTACAGCCTCATCATGACTGGGTGGTTTTCCTGGATATCGGTGTAGAGCAGGGGAATTCGCTCTCTTCCCCCACCACGCCGGGGTCTCCCACAGCGTTTCCATCAGGAAGCCCAGCCAAGAATAAAGCAATACCAGGGTCTACAACCGTCTTGTTATCAAACTAGTCACATGGTAGCAAATCTCCCTTTGATCCACAAGGGCTGCGACTGCCTGTGGTTGTGACGACATGGGGTATACTTTGGCCAGGCTGTCTTCGAGACTCCAGGGAACCACTATAGCTAAACTACCGAATCTCAGGAGTATGAAAATTACGCTGGGCCCGCACAACCACTGAAGACGGGGCAACCAGGTATCCAAGTAATTAAGATATGCTGATTTGATGTCTAAAGTTGCCGCACCGTATGAATGAAAATCAGTTCATGTTCATCCTTTTTTTCCAACAGCTACGCCTAGTAGATCAAAAGTCTTCGAATCTTATAGCCAGACGTATCTGGATCAAAAAATCAACATGATTCAATACAGTGAACGATTAAGCACAAGAGCTAAGAGGAAATAACCTCCTTAATGAACTTATATAAACTGTGAAGGAGATGAAGTGATGAAGAACATAGGACGGCTTTATGTACACCGTTCTGACTCTACGATTCTCCCAACCTCAACAGGCACCTATGAAATCTGAGCGCTACGCAACCGGAGATAAAAAGCAGAAACAGTTTTTGGATGGACTACCAAAATGTTGAAGCCAATATGACACATACTAATGAGGTAAAAAATGGAATACGAGTTTTAATCAACTCGATAACCAGGAATCAGAGACACTGCCTGCGTGGACGTTACTGTTCCTTAATATCGCTAACTGGAAGACTCCAAATTTGAGTTTCCATGGACTGCCTTCGTTACCGTTATGAACCAATACAGTTTCTCACGCTATTCACCATGGGTCTTAACGTCCTGACGTATTCTTCGAATGTTCTCTTGGTGCTAATCTTGGTGCTGAAATTGCCTATTTACCTTATAGGTGTCCTAGCTTCTCAGTCTACAACACCAGCTCTTTAAATAAAGCATTCTGATGCTAAAGCAAGTTGTAAGCAGAGTTTGTCAATACATTTCTCCTATATACAAGCTGTGTAAAGGGACCTGACACTTTAACAGCCTCTTCATCAACGCTGCCGTATCAGAGGATCACTCAAAGTGAGGTAACAAGGTCACTTCTATTCTTCTCATTTCCGTTGTTTCTAGGAAGAAATATAATGGAATAGCTCGTTTGCAAGACAAGACTCTAAACCACATCCCACGCATTTCACAGTGACTTTCCTCCAATCTTTTGACAAATCGAAGTTGAACATCCACCGGACATATGCACACATGAATGATGTGTGAGTATAAAGTGAATCTTATTCCGTGCAGTAGAAAGAGGGAATCCGTACCACAAATCAACCATGTAAGGAACACCCTTTATCCGCTATCTGGGGACGCTCCACTTGACCTTGGATGCGGTCGTTGGGATGCTACCTTATGAAAATCTATACCATTTTGAAAGAAGTCTCAATCGGTTCTATACAATTTTCATAAAACTTTGGTCCTAAAGATTACGTGGAAAAAAATAACTATCAGCCAACTGTGATGCAAATTCCAACAAAAGTTTTAAAAAGTGGACAATGTAAAAAAATCCACCACCTCACTTAGGAGCTCAATCTCTTCTCGTGGCATCCCTCGTCCATCTCGAGGATGAACAAGATAATGAATCACCTTCTCACCCCAACTATCCAAAATTATCTTCTTAATCTCATGACCGAGTTCCTAAACAGCGGAGAAGTGAATCACACAATCAGTAAATAAAAGTTAAGTATTGTGAATCATACGCGGTCTTACGTCTAGACCATAATCGAGTCAATATTCACAAAAACAAAAAACTTGCATGGAGTGGGAAACTCACAGCTGTAATGTACTTATTTACAAGCACTGTATCGTCTACAGTGTCAAAAATTGCTAGCAAAACTCTGTGTCCATAGTGTTCCATTGCCGTCTTCACGACGAGATCTTTGAAGTTTTTTACTATCAACTGGAACAAACTCAGAATTAAAGAATAGAATAGCAAAAGAAAACTTCATGAAGAGTCTCGCTCCATAATTGACCTTTCTATCTTTTACGTTAGCATGCCAAACACATTTCATAGCAACGTATGAGCCATCCGAAGTATGAACTAATTCGGGAATTCTGTCCTTCAAAGAATCGATCAGGTTTGTTAGTTGATCTGAGTCGCAATAAGTTGTAAAGTCTTTCAAAAGTCGATGACACAGAGAGAGACGTATTGTTGTCCTGCAAAAGTAAAAAGGCAAAATGTTAAATATAGAAAGACCATTTTAAAATAACCTTAAAATGTAATACGACTTACTTTTCAACAAGTGCAAAAATCTGCTCCTCAAGATGCCGAACGATAAGCTTTATCTTTGCAGGTTCCTCGGCTACGATTTCGTCCATCGTGCGAGGTTTGTCCGACTTTATTTAGTATACAGTTTAGAAACGTCTCAACGATTCAAATCTGAGTGAACAACTCACGCGAAACATCACGAACTCCCTTCCATAAAACTCCGAAACTATATCGAAACGTTGCCGTGCGTTCGCGTACTCGTTATATGCAGTTTCCAAAACCTAAATTAAGAATTCTAGAATGTTTACTTACTTATTTAGATACTTTCATGGCCTGTTTTCATTGGTTGCGCGGGTACTAGTACAATTTCCATTCCCTGGAGATTTGCTGGTTTAGCCATTGTGGCTCCTTACAACCTCGAGGACAGCCTGACCAAAGTTTGCCCCAAGTCGTCACCAACACAGGCAGTCGCAACCCTTGTGGATCAGAGGGAGATTTACCACCATGCGACTTTGATACCAGGACGGTGGTGGATACTGGTATTGGTTCACTCTTAGTTGGGCTTCCTGATGGAAAGCCTTCTTAGCTTGGGAGACCCTGCTAGAGGGATGAATCCCCCGCTGTACATCGCAGTCCGACACTCAGGAATACCTCCAAGCCACGATAAGGCGGTAAATCGTTGGGAGGGTAGAATACTTAAATGAAGCAAATGAAAGCCATGGCTCAGAAAGAATACATCCAAGCAGACTCACTTGGGCCGCGTACACAATTCGCATTAGTGAGACTGCATGTCCTCTGAATGCATCGATGATTGTATTTCTTTGTTCCTTTGAACTGAAAAAATTGAACTATTTAGCCGATTTGGGCCCCCCAGATCAATCCCGTTGACGGGTGATTGCTGATGGCAAAAGATCGATATGAACTATTTACATATACATGTGTAATTAAAAGTGTTAAAACTTTTAAAAGTAAGCTCAGCACTTTACGCACCCGTACTTCAACATGCGCAATACGAAAAAGTGTGCATATTTGTTTTTGGCCATCCGCACGAGTTCAGGAGAAAGTTCATCAAAAACTGAAAAAAGACCCGTTACAAGGACCACACAGGAAGAATGAAGAAACGCACTTGCAGAAGTGATTCCGGGTCTCTTCAAAGCCAGTAAACATTCAAAAATACGGCAAGTGTCGTGGGCGTAGATTAACTTGGACGCATAGCCCTAGAAATACCTCTGGAACAATACGAAATGCTAACACGCTTAAAGGACTTGAATGAATTACACACCTTCACCAGGCCATAAAGTTGGGATACACACTCATCTCTCTCTTGCTTTGGAGTCTTCTTGCTAAAACTACAACATACAGATCAAAATTAGAGCTATTGCATGACATTACTGAGTTCCAACACAATAAATCCTGCCAATGGTTTATCGTCCCATCGTGGCTGGGGGATGTCCCTGTTTTGGGCAGCGGCAGGAACCATCTCTCCAGCAAGGTCTTCCAAGCTGAGTCAGGAATTTGCGTCAGGAAGCCAGCTAAGAGTAAAGCAATATCAGGATACACCACCGTCCTGGTATCAAACTAGTCGCATGGTAGCAAATTTCCCTCTGATCTACAAGGGCCGCGACTTCCTGTGGTGGTGACGACCTGGGGAGACCTTGGCTTGGCTGACCTCGGGATTGCAAGGAACCACCATGCCTAAACCAACAAAATTCCGAAACATTGGAAATTATGTGGGGTCTGCATAACCAGTGAAGACGGGCCATCTAAGTATTCAAGTAAGTAAGTAAGTAATACAATAAATTCCACTATTAATGTGATGAACACATGAACATACCTTCTAACTTTTTCCCAGAGCAGCTTACATTGCATAGCGCGATCGAAATGTGGATTTTTCTGAGCCTAAGGGTGCAAAAGTACTCAGCATTCAAAAATAATGAATAGAAGCTGCATCACCTTAAGCTGCCTGAGGAATGCCTTCCTTTGTTTTCTATCCATATTCAGCAGCTGTTCCTTAACTTTCTTCGTCACCTAGAAAGAAACACACGTGAACTTCCACATGGTACAGTTAAACCCGAACGAAACGAAACCCACTCGGATCACTTTCTTCTTTCTGGGCTCAGCCGTTGTTTTCATAGCACTTCTGTCCAAAGTTTTCTTGTCAATTTTTTTATCAGCGGTGACGTCGGTGTCTTTCGCAATACTATGTTCTCCACTATCATTGATCTAAATAGTACTTTAGTTTCTCACAAAAAAGAATACTGAGAAATGGTAGAATACAAGGCCACCTCTCCTTTATCCAAAGATTTCACATTTTTCGGCATCGCGCGAAGTATACCTTTCCCTGGAGACGCCGACGACGGCTTAATTTCTAGATTCTTCACATTCTTATCGAAAACCTTAACGCTTGCCATGTTTCCACTGAAAGACACCTAAAAACGAAATAAAGCTACATAATTTGGTTTCATACCTATTGCTTCCACATTGAACACGTACCCTTTTATCAGACTTCTCGTTTTTGGAATGGTTTTCGACTGAGGACTGGACATACATCGCACTGTCGTCATTCTCTTCTTCGGCTCGACGTAATTTTTGTAGTTCAACTTTAACATTCTCGCGAAGTTCGGCTTTTAGCTTCAATTTTTCCTTCAGCTAGAAAAATTGGATAGTTATGGACTAATTAACATGCTAACAACAACAGATATTTGTGGTGAATCAACTTTCCATAATTGTTCGTGGTCTCTTTTATCATAAAGCAGTTATCTCCGCTTCTCTTACCACTGAGTTCATATGCATGCGGAAATATGCTAGTAAGACTAAGTTCTCATAAGAATAGAGGACTAGTTTGAATTCCTACATATTCAAACTACCAATACAGATGTTCAGAAAGGACTCTAAATATTCCCTAGTGGTTTACCGGTCCATTAATTATTGACATTACCATAGAAAATCTTTTAAGTAGAACCCTAGAATATTTTAAAAGAAACCCCTTTTTTAACAATACTGTTGCACTTTCCCAATGGTTCACTGCCTCATCGTAGTTGAAAGGTGTTCATGGATGTCGAAATGTGACGGAGGTCTCTCACTTAAGTAAGGTGAAGAAGGTTTTGAAGTTCAACGTTTCCACCCAAAAATTTAGACAGGAAGAGACAAATGCCACGGCAGAGCTCGATGAACTACTTATGGCCACGTTCTCCTACACACGTTTGAGCCCACGTGCTGCGCATTCGCGAACTGTATCCCAACCGACACTTTGCAAACAGGCAAGTTGGAGGTCCCACAGGAGGTGAAATATGCCACAGGAACCATATAAGCAACCTGTATACTATGAGAGAACAGTGCAGGCTAGGTGGAAGTGTAGCGAGCCTTCAAGTCTAAGCTGCACAAATCAGTCTTGGATATTCAAAGAGTTTAAAAAAGTAAAGCCCATCGCGCCTTCGCCGTAATATGGAAATTAACACGGTAGAGTATGGAAGATCCGTACTACCAAACGGTGTTTACGATACCGGCGAAGAAATGCTCAACATTCCTGTCAAAATGAGCATTGCCGACAACATCGACTATTCTAATAGAATTAACGATTAGGTTAGATATTCACGGAACGATTTCGCCTCAAAAAAGGCGAATTATTCCTCAACACACTTCTTATCCCCCATGGTGGTATCAGATTATTAGACATATAGAGAGATATATAGAATTAGAAAAGTTCTACGTGGAACATCATGATTTCTAAAGGTTAATCGTCAGGGACTACGATTGCGAAAGAAAGGAACGAATGGCATATGTGCTGGGGTTCGCACAACTCGTCGTGAAGACGGACCGTCCAAGTATCCAAGTAAATAATCGCCAAGGACTAGGCTGTTGTATTTTACCCAGCAATTAGTCTAAAGAGTTTCACATTGAGATCTAGTAGTTGAAGTAGAATGAACAGGATGAGCACTTGGGTAATTTAAGATGTTAATTCATAACCCCAGAGGTCCTCCTCTCAACGATGATCGTCAGAAACACTCAATGGTGAAACAGACCATTCATTTTAAAACGGAAGTCTTGCCTAACCGGTATCGCTGTTATCTCAAAATTGTGCATGAAGTGGGATCACCTCTTTATCCGTGTACGATTACTTTCCTACAAAAGGAAAGAAATCTCACAAACCAATAAACAAAATTGGGCACAAATTTGGACTAGTTCCTTTTTAACTCGGATCTCGGTGTGATTTCATTGTTAGCAGGTGTCATTGTAAAAAACCGAAGTGTTCAACTGTTTCTCAACAGCGCTAAGAAAGTCAACAGTTTGAAAGTCATCAAGAAACAACTGCCTCCAAAAGCTCTAACAGTGAAGAGCTGTAAGGAACTAAATTACATTTTCGTTTGCTAAGTTTCAATGAAGTTGGAAAGAGCATCTACAACCACCGTTGGAACCTAACTGGTGGAGAAAGCAAGGAAATGCACTACAATGTCACGTTGAAACAGTACTCGATCTCAACCGGATACGAACGCAAGATTTGAAAAACCAACCAGCCCTCGACAACACATTCAACTAGAGATGACATTATACCTTACTTTGCTAAACCAAGAAAGCCTTTCACCCAGCTAATATAAGCACGGTTATGCAAGCCTGATAAAGGCGGAACACCCTTACTCAGAACAAAAGGATCTCTCATGAAACATAAGGCATACAAAGCCAAGCTGATGAAATTTCCTTAAACCAGTGCGTCGTCAACCTAGACGTCCTATGAACACTAGACCGGGACAACATAGTAGCGAAGTTGGATGGTCGGCTAAGAGGAAGCTCGAATACTAGCCAGGGTCGACAGCGCAGCAGCGGAGATCGATCTTCAGCTGGACCTGAGAAATTAGCACGATGGAAACTAACTTACGATGGTCTCGTATTTATACTTAGGGGAACAAATTTCTATAAATGAATGGTTATACTAGACGTACATAGATCTTGAAATAAGAACTATGAATGGTAGGAAAAAGCACCAGCAAACTGATAGCTTGAGGAACATGCAAGATTAATGGAGATTTAGTAAAGAGGAGTAATAACACTCAGTGGGTAAAACTCTCAGTGCCTTTAGACATGAGCCATAAGAAACTTGTTCTATACCACGTCAAGCGTAATGCAGGAAAGCCAACGAACCCATGTTTCGATTCATTCACGAGGACGGTGCAAGGGAAACACGATTTTCTTCGTGTCTGAGTGAGCAGAACTCGAGTAACTCTGGCGCGGTAAAGGGACAAGTGAAAGCAACTGGCCCCTGTTCGAGTGACTCGACAATTAATGAGACAAGTGATACAAGTAAACTGGCGAGTGAATACCAATAAAAACCAAGTGAGTTCTAGTGTGAAGTGATGCCAAAAGAGATATTCACACTGAGAAAGAAGAAATACTGAAGAGAAAGCCCACAAGACGACAGAGCTACTGATAGCAAGAGCCTTTCCCTATACCACCACTAATCTCCATGGATACAACCTTGAAGGGAATATTTCTGAACGCTATTCATAACAACCTGAAGTAGGTTTTTCAATACATCACAGTCTTCAATGTAGTAGCAATCCAGTCCTATCGCGTGACCTAACCTCTTAACGCTCAGCATATGTACAGTAAGGATAAGCTCGGCGTTGATCAATCCCTTTAGGGATGCGCCGTGCATTCGATTTTATTAAGGATCGTTGGAGGTGATTGAATTCAAATCCGGCCTTTACAATGATTCGTGGTGGCCTACCGATGTATCGAGCCAGTGCTGCTGTCCTCCCGGACAAGTACCAATTTGTCGACCCCGGGGGAAATGAAGGGCTTGGTGAGCCTGGGGCACCTCGATCGATCCCATGTGTATTGCAAGGCCCCTCCGACCACTGCTACACGCGCCCTTTTATGTGTAATAGTGGACACAACGGTAAGATAACTGAGAAATGACAGAAACAAACAAATCTTCTATGACCCACAAAACATGAAAACAAAAATTTTCGAAAAAAATGCGATTAAGAGAAGGTACCTTTCCAATCCTTCTTCTGTCTACTTGATTGAGCTTCAAGCCCTTAGCTTTCTTCTCCAAAACATTTTTCACCTTTTTCCTGCCTTTCATTTTCCTTTTCTTCTCGTGCTGGGACCCCAGCATAGACATTTTCCTGCCTAAAATCCAAATTCCAACTAGTTTCATAGTCAAGTATAAAATGAAGGATGCCTTAATATTCAGTGACTAGTCGTGAAAAAAACTATGAAAACAGAATGGTGAGGTAGAGCTCTCTTTCAACACGATCTTTCTATTCCATGAAAAAAAGACGCAGATTCTTGAAGTATATGCATAGTATGAAGCATTAAAGACAGCATTCCAGAAGTTTTATGGATACAGATATCGCGCAAAATAGAATCTTTTAACAACCTAGTCGTCAATTATGATGTTTTGTCCGTAGAAGAATGATTTCTGTGACGCGCCTTTTCGAAAACGCTGAAAGCTCGGGAGGACGAGTGGAAGTCCTGTTATTCCTAGATCTAGTAGAGTTGTTGTCAATTTCTATTAATATCCCGATGTTCGTGAAATGTTTGAAGAGTTTGGATACGGGCTTGCTTTTGATATATCGGTAGCACCTAGCCCGTTGGCGACCTATTTCTTTTTGATAGTGGGATCAAACCAACTGGGGTTACCAAGGGAAACGGGTTGCCGACTGGCGAGGTGCCACCGGTATATCAAAAATAAGCCGTATCCAAAGTCGAATTCCTGTCGAGGAGTTCCAGACCCTACGATTCCCGTGTTTGAAGAGTCTCCGTCCGCACACCTAGCTGGCTGTTGTGGCGGGAAGCGTCGAGGAGACGGACTAGTCGGATTTGGATGATCCCGTCTGTTCCATCCCATATGGTGCCATTGCAGGCTTGCTGCAGAACTCATTTCCTTCGTCCCACCTTTCTCCCGTATCCTTTGTTATGCCGAATTTCTATTTTACTTAGACATACTCTTTGGATATGAATCGGTCAATATTCGTACCGTCTGATTATCACTTCGTTGTTGGGAAAGCGAGCCAAGTGAAGTACATCATCACTGCCACAATTCCCATCTAACTTATCCATAATTTTTTAAGATATGAAGCTTTTATATAATGCTGAGATATTTGCAAAACTCCGGACCGCAGGTGTATGCGGTGGGGAACGAACGCGCTGTTGTCCTTACCGGGGAGTAGCGCACTTCACCACCACACCATCCTGGTCCTTCGTTTTGCCCGTCTCTCAGCTAGCTCTATTGATGATTGTGATTATAACTAAGCCTCAGCTTAACTGGGTTCAATGCCGATTTGGACTCCCTAGATCAATCCCGTTGACGGGTGATTGCTGATGGCAAAAGATTAATAGAACTAGCTGAGAGACAGGCAAAACGAAGGACCCGGATGGTGTGGTGGTGAAGTGCGCTACTTCCGGGTAAGGACAATAGCGCGTTTGTTCCTCACCGCATACACCTGCGGTCCGGAGTTTTGCAAATATCTCAGCATTATATACGAGTTATATTTTGCAACATACCCTGCCATTAAAAAGAAAAAGGCAGTAAATAAAAGCGTGAAGATTATTTCATAATATTTCATATTTCATATTTCAAAATATTTCAGTTGTACCAACTAAAGAAAATTGAAGAAAAGTCCCGAAGACAAGGCATGGAAGTAACTGTAATGATTTGGAAAAACCTTAACAAAGTTTATTGCCGTTCTGCACACTGAGACCTCACCTCCGAAAGTCATCGTCGATTGTTGACCGTCGGCATGGATCGTCTCAATCTCGAAACGAGGAGGCCTTCCCGATGCAGTTAACTGAACTGATTAATTTGCAAAACGTGACAAAAACCCTCTATAAGCAACTGAGGAAGCGAAGCACATCAAAAGCTACATATTTGCACAGCTGTAAGCATTATCTGAACTGGTCTCTGGACGTCTAGACGCAACTTCGACCGCAAACAATTCGTTGTGGTGGCTGACAAAACATAAAGAATACTATTCGAACAATTCACAGTTTAAACCATTTGCAAAATCAGAAAGATGGATCAGTTGATATAAGTGAATGAGAACACAATAGTCAAAAAAAATAACGAATTGCGCCAACGAATTCTTTTACAGACTACGTCGGAGTTTTTTCCCCGTCGATTTCATGAAAACCTTCTCGTAAAGGTTTTTGCACAACCACCTAGTTCTTTTTTCAAAACAAAGCATAATAGGCAAAAGATTATTGTTTTAGTAAAAAACGGTTAACATGACAAATTCGATTAGTAATGTACAGCGCAAACCAAAGCGAAAAAGCTTTGCTCAATGTACCGTATCACTGTCCTCAAGACTGGCTACAACACTCCGAATATATTCATCTACCGTCCTATCTCTAATGAATGGAGGTTGCCGCCGCTAATCGAAAAAAAAACATTTAAAACATAGGAGAGATAAAGGGAAGACATGAAACCTAGAGCCGAACGAATTCTAAGGCGGCTGCACTTCGCTAGCAAACGGTAACATTTTCACGACGTTGTGAATTCCGATCACTTCTACTACACTTGCATTGATAGCGGAGCGCAGCCGTATCTCACAAAATTGGAACACTAACTAAAGGGCTGTTCATGACTCTCTCGAAACTGGTCTTCGTGTCCTTCAGCTGCACTTCGACCTCGGAATGTGTTTGACCGTCGATGACCACGATCTCCTTCATGTCATCCGTAAGTAAACGACACGAATATGCGATGTTGATTGCCGTTTCCTAAAACTCACGATCTAATAACATTATGTTCACAAAAACCCTAGAAAGCCGTAAGTCCAACTTTTTATAACGATGTATATCTTCTGTATACCCATAAATCTTAATGTGACCGATTAAATACAATTGAGTGAATAAGCAGATAAAAGCTCCAAGGAGCAATACAGACCAATGCTCACATAGCAATTGACAGACATTTCTGCTGTTAAATTACCTTTTTTAAAGAAAAATAGGTGGGAAAAAAGTGGAAGTTTGATCACTTTTGTAAAAAAAAGACACGGAATTGAGTTAAGCAAGAATTCATCGAGTAACGTCTACGCACCGTTTTATCCCCGGTTAGCACCCAGATTTTGATGTTCGCCTCGGCGAGGCGTGCGATCGTCTCCGGCACGCCATCCTGCAGTTTGTCCTCAATGGCTGTGCCGCCAAGTAATGTCATTTCTAGGAGAACTGTCGTCAGAAAACATCCATGTACATTAAAACTGTCGCACTGAAGGTTTTCAAGTAGCAGGGTACCTTTTTCCATTTCCTCGTAGACCAAGTCGAGCTTCTTCTCACGATTATACATATCGACAGCAGCTTGTTGATAGCGTTTCTGAAGTTCTCAAGGTCAATTCGTTATATCATCGATATTATGCAGTTCCAGAGAAGAAACCCCGAGCCTGCCGCAAGTGCGAACGAGCCTATTTTTAGAACCAGGTCACTCGTTCTTCAAAGTCGTTAATATTGTTAATGTGGAAACTGAAACCCTATGCATGGAGATTGTGCTTAGATCTCAAAGCAAATTCTAGAAGTAGTATGATTTCCACATTGGGTAAGAAAACTGCAGACACATTAATGCAACAATGTGATCAGAAAATGTGAACTCAAAAGATCTCCTTTCTATAGAACTTGGGATAAATAGTCGATATATGTGTACATGTCCCTATGAGCTGCCCATGTGGAGGTGACGCGAGGTTGATGTCAGCTGTTGTATAGGGAACAGAAGCACAATACTGTTGATTTTGGGGTGAGCGTCAGGATCTTAGCGCAGGAATCAAAGACGTCAACATGAAATACACTTCAGGCGCTTTAGATAAATTTCAAAAACCCAACGAAGAACCGGAAAGACGAGTGCCTCATCATACGTGGTCTGGCGCCTTATTTTTAGTTCTTAAAAAATTGCGAACTTTTTTGATTTTCTGACCTGGGTTGGTCACACTCATCATCTCACGTGATTAACTCGCGAGTGGTTCCACATGCAATAAAATGGTGAGTAATACAAAATGATGTCCGTTTATATGTAAGACCTTTATTTGCACTACACATAATTAACCAAATTATATGGTCATCGTTACATAAAAAATGACCAGACTCGACAAAGAAGACGAAGCCGCCGAAACGTCAGCCATAAAATCAACAACAACAACTGATACCTACTTGGCTTCAGCCCTAAAAGGGAGTTCTTAAAAAATTGCGAACTTTTTTTGAGAATTTGAAAAAACTTCCACTCAACAGGAAGGCATTTGTCAGGTTGCGGGAAAAAAGCAATAAGTTTACCATCCAGTCTTCAAAATAATCCGCTTCAATATCCCTGTAAGCTAAACACAACGTTCGTAGACCGATGTTGGCAAATTCGGCAAGGTGAGTTTTAGTGGAATTGAGCAGAAGCGAGGATGTTGACGACTTCAACCTGAACGTGAAAGAGTTGATTTATTTCAGTGGAGGGTAACGATAAGTGATGAGCGAGTTTTCAATTCAACGATTGACAAAATATTTACTAATTAAATAATAACTAAATTTGTCGAACTTAGAAATTGTCTTTTCTTGGCCAGCAAGACAACGGACATCGGTTGGTGTGATGGGTAGCACTTGAGCCCAGGAAAAGGTAATCGCGATTGCGAGGCTCAACTGAGGTTCCGAGTCTTGCTCATGTCTCACCATCCTTGTGGCTGTATTTCACACAGTACCCTGCCGTGGAAAAAATTGACAGTAAATGGAAAGCCAAACATTCAGAAATTCTGTAAGAATGGATAGGAATATGTCTGTATGTTTTGCACACAAAAGACATCTCCATATTTCTTTTCCTTTTGAACCTAGAAAGCATTGACATAATTGGTCGCAATACAGTTGGTCCCACGTGTGACGTAATGTTGAACGTTCACAGATATTAATCACTATGATCCAAGTGCACATCATACTTGTTCTGAGTCTGTTGCCCTACATTCCCAAGGGCAAAAAGGTTGTGATTTTAGGTCTTTTGTACTCTCAAAAGTTTTCGAAACAATTAAGGAGAAGGTAGCGTACCGATCCATTATCATCATATCTGCTCCTTTGCAATACAGGCGAATGTCACCCTGAGAGTTCCGTGTGATCACCGACATTCGTTTACGTTCGTTGTTGAAGTCCAGGAAACATAACAACTCGTACACCTGAGAGTCTACCAAAAATTTTACAGATTTCTATCCTTCTTCGTATGCAGTTTTGCTCTTTTAGAGATAAATTGTCCAACTGGGAGAATTCATCACACCTAAAAGCTTTCAAGATGAATTCGGTGTTCATGGAGCAGGACAGCCAGCAGAGTGAATGTTACATGAATCAGCTTGAATAGATTGCTCAACCTATCGATTATACTTCACATGATTGAAATACTTTTAATTAGTGTATTAATATAGACTACAAAGGTTTTATTCATCCACTCTACCACTAATCGAAGCAAGCATGGCACTCCAATGACAAAAGAGAAAAAAAGGAGTGTATAGATAAAGAAAAATTGGATGAACTGGAATGGAAAATAACCTTGCTGGCCGTACCTCTTCTCTACCGAGCACTTCGATGGTAATCGACTGCGGTGTTCTGCTACGAAATACGAATCCGAAGTTGCGAGCAGCCGAGGTGAGCGCTGCCTCGTCGGGCGACTGCGCTTGATAGACGAGCCGGCCCCTGTCCCGTTCTGGCATCACAGTATGACAGAGTGCAAGTAACCGCCAGAACTCTGTCACCTAGAGGTAGTACGAAAATTAAGCATCGATTATGACGAAATTCAAGCTTTGACAACCAAATTTACCTTCTCGATCGATATTCCTTCATAACATTAAGATTATATCGGGCTAATCTAAACACTAAGAAGTACAAACAGTAATTCGTCGTATTCTTGTTGAGCGAACGCGAGGTGTTATTTTTATTCTTTATTCACGAATAAGCTAACGCTTCGGCGGATTTCGCCTTCCTCAGAGCACTATTCTCCTCCAGAGGCGGTCCTCCAAATACTGAGCACAAAAGTTTTTCTTCGTCTCGCACTTCTTCCACTTGGCGAACGCCTGGTTTTGTCGGCTTCGTAGACAGGTGCGTAGAATTCGCAATTCGATGTCCAGTACTCGGTGACTGTCCTCTGGTAGTCCGCATACATCGTGTAGTCGTCTTCGTTTGATGAAGTTCGCGACGAGAAAGTCGGTGAGGGGAGGGGGGGGGGGGGGGGGGGGGGGGGGGGGGTACAAACAGTTTTTGGGGAGAGGCCCATCTAAACTCCAGGTTTCAGTCTCTTGCCTGTAGTTTCTTTCTTGACGGTTAGAAACCTTCTCTGCCATTTAATTTTCATGATCCCTTCCTATATATTCCCGTCGTAGTTCCCCTGAATATAAGTCTTTTCCTAAAAGTTTTGATGTGATCAGGCTTGCAACAAATGCTGGAGTCCTTGAAAATTCGATTCGGCACCATTAAGAAACAACAGATATCCATTTCTTAGAAGAAGACCGACCAGCTGCGGATCAAGAATGTTTTAGCAGACTAGATTTACGCGGAACAGAATAGCGTGCTCGTGCGACTTACTTCAGCAACACCGTTCTTGGTGTCGTCCAGCAGTCTGGTATCGTAGAACTTGAAAGATTCTTCATAATGTTTGTTCCATGAAAAATCGATTGGCTTCGTTCCCTGGAGAACAACATAAAAAGACCTCATCGAACACCCGAATAAGTAAGTCTTCAAAACAGTCCAAAATCTATCCTTTTTGTATAAACAAGCATTCTGGATTTTATTCTGAAATCTAGTTAGTCATTTTCACTTATGGGAGTATGCACAAGACAAATTCCCTTTGTCCTTCAATTACTGCATATAAACGATCTACGATATTTTGTAGCACGGCCCCAAATTTTAAGAATTTCCACTTGGTTACTCGATTTTTTCACTTGAAAGGATGGTACTCACCTGTGTGATTTCGACCACCTCACCGCGATCATCAAGCAGATCCCCATAACTAACGCCGTTTATGGTGCATTTGTTGAAGGTCATTATGTTCCTCGTCAATGTGCCCGTCTTGTCACTGAACACGTACTGCACCTAAAGGTGACGGCAGTACGACATCAACTCCGCCTATGGTTAAAATGAGTATCACCCACCTGTCCGAGTTCTTCGTTAAGGGTGGTAGTATGCGCTCGAGCAGGAACACTGTTCTCGCCATTCTCAAAGAACATCTGCTGATCGTGGTTGATCCAGTGAGAATGAAAGAAGCGGATGATTTCCACACTGAACAACTGATATGTAGTTCGCTTCGAAAGTAAGTTCGCTCAGTGCTACATCCCAGATTTTCCATCGTGAAAGCCAGAAGCTGTTTAATCTTTGGAAAAAAAATAAGTGAAGTAGCTGAAAGTTTAGAAGCAGACACCACATTATGCAAAAATACAGCGTTTTAAAGAAATGAGAAGAGGAAGAGTGTTTGGCGTGTTTGCAAGTTGCCACTGTGATGGATTTTTGTAAGTTTGTCGGGACATACCTAACATATAGAGATATCGGCACAACAGTATTGAGTAGAATTACATAGGAGAAAAACATTAGAAACGAAATGACGGCGATTTGCTGCGAACCTGAAATGAGAGCTCACTGATCAGAATCATCTCGATGTCACAAACAGAGAGACGGAAGTACTTTTCTAGCTATAAAAGTTGCACCAGTGCTCATTTTTTATCCCATGACGCCCGATATGGACACTGCAGTGCCCATACATGTGCAGACTAGAAGAGGTATGGACACTACAGTGCCCTAACCGTTTTAATTACTGCCTACTCTCTTTAAGGGCAGGGCATATTACGAAATATAATTTCAGCGATGCTGAGATATCTCGCAATATAACCTGCCATTAAAAACAGTAGGCAGTAAATAAAACGGTTAAAACTGTGATTATAACTAAAACCTCAACTTAACTGGGTTCATTGCCGATTTGGGCTCTCTAGATCAATCCCGCCGACGGGTGATTGCTGATGGCAGAGATCGATAGAACTAGCTGAGAGACAGGCGAAATGAAGGACGCGCATGGTGTGGTGGTGAACGCGTTAACCCCTGGAAAGCACTTCAGCGCGTTCGTTCCCCACCGCAGACACCTGCGGTCCGGAGTTTTGCAAATATCCCAGTATCATTGAAACTATAGTGTCTACTTCCAGTTTAGTGTGCCTCAGAATTTCTTCACCGCATTTCATCCCATAGCTCATCGAAGGCAGATCAAAATGGGAAGGATGAAACCGCTCGATTCACTTAATGATTTACGAAAAACCTTTCTTTGAGAAAGTTCATTGACTGGTTATTCGACTAACAATTGACTGCTATTTCATTTCTATCACTATGTTCACTGTATGGAAAATGGGGATACGAAAGGCACTGAAACGGACCCAACATAGAGTGGGAAATAGATCAAAGTGCTAACAGCAATGTATTCGCATAACGCCCCAGTAACTCAGTATCACCCTCTCCACATGGGGAACTTTCAATCTTTCCCTGCCTTTTTTGCTCTTCTTTAAGCGATTTCATTTAGGTATCTCATTTTCTATGTGCCAAGAAAATGCCGATTTCGGCTTCTACATCGTCCATGAGCGGTCGGATACTTTTTCATTCCTACTTTTGTTTCTGATTTTGATTTTAACATCTCTCCGAATCAACTCGTCGGTAGACCGAGCGAAGGATTCGTCGCCGAAAGCACACCTCCCTCTGATCCACATCGTGGTGAAGACCTGGATACGCCCTTTTACAAGGTTAAGTCAGGACCCCAGAGAGGACTAAGTTGAACGACCAGCAATAGGTCAGCCTCAGTACCCCGCACACTGGGTGCTCCCGTCTATGACGTCGGGCGGTGAGACGATCGGTGAGAGGCCACAAGACCTAGGTTTAGGCAAGACGTTACTAGAACCGGATCTGACGGATACGCGTACGACACGCCATGGGGATTGTTACTTACTATGCACATATAATGCTAGAACACTATCCACAGACGCCGACCTTCACGCCCTTCTTGTAGCCGCAGATCGCACTAAATTTCATGTGATCGCACTACAAAAAACAAAAATCAAGAAGACCGACATACGTCAACTAAACAATGATCCGTGGAGAAAAGATCCCGTCACGAAATGTCGGTGGCGTAGGCTTTGTCGTCCACCCGTCCATTGTCCATCTCGTCGACTTATACGTGATCCTTTTCACTGGCATAGCCGTCCTCCATCTTCAATTGTCGCGCCATAAGAAGATCACTATCATCTACTGCTACTCACCGACCGACGCAGCTGATGAGTACAAATTAAACGCGTTCTACAATCGGTTGGGGGAAGTCATCTCCAATGATAAAGCATTTCATAAATTTGTTGTTAGAGACTTCAACGCCAGAATAGGAAAGGCTAACAAGAGCGAATACAGGATCGGAAATTTTGGATTAGGAGAAAGAAATGAGAATGGAAACCGTCTCGCAGGACTCCTGTCAGCAGCACGTCTCTTCCATGGAAACTCGTTTTTCCGGAAGAAAGAAAACCGCCGCTGGATATGGGAGTCTCCTTACGGCATGACTTATGCAGAGATCGACCACATTCTGACAACCAGAAGATAGTGCCTACTTGACACATCGGCAGTCCCTTCATTCCGTACTGGTTCCGATCACCGCCTTCTTCGCGCGAAGATTCGATTCAGCCGCAAATTGGAGAAGAGCTCTCTTCATCGACCACGAGGAAAAAGTTTAGCTGTATACGACGAGAACATTCTGAACGAAGTCCTATCCAAACGTGACCGGCAGATTAAAGAAGACTTGACCGAAGACTACGAGCTACCTGTTGAAGGACTGAAAAGCTGTGCCGTATTCGCCTCAGTTCCTTAAGCAAGAAGATCGGATCGCATCTCCATCACTACTAAGGAGTTGCTCGAAAAGAGAAGGAAACAGAAGCTTGATCCTACTGCAACGCGTTTAATAAGGCTATTAATAAATGCCAGCTGCAGAAGAGCTTTGCAGGAAGATCTACAACGGTATAAGCAGAAGAAAATACAGGAATCAGCAGAGAAAATAAGCAGTCTGAAAAAATGCCGTCGGGATTTGTGTGATTATAATGTTCCGCAGTCAGCCCAGATGAACGAAAATGGGATCGTCAAAACTTTCAGCCATGATATGGAATTAATAGCGGAAACGTTCTACACCAACCTTTTCCGTTCCACAATCCCCGTCTCGGGCACTAATATACTCGCTGGAGAAAAGCCACCTGAAATTCTTCCGTCGGAGGTTCGAGTTGCGATAGAAAGCATGAAAAGAGGTACAGGTCCAGGACCCGATAGTATCACTGCCGGCTTCCTTGGAGCTGAAGGCCAAAATTTATATGTACTTCTCGCAGATCATATGACAGACTTCCTTCAAAAGGAAAAAATCGCAGAACAGTGGAGGACGTTGCGCACGGTCATCCTGCCCAAGAAAGGAGACCGAAAGGATCTTCGTAGCTATCATCCTATATGCCTATTGAGTGTGCTGTACAAGCTCTTCACGAAGATTATGCTCTTGCGCATATCAAGGACACTGGATGAGGCGCAACCAGTCGAGCAAACGGGATTTCGGAAAGGATTTTGCTGCATGGACCACATCCATACCGTGTCCAGGGTCATCGAAGTTTGTCGGAAATACCACTTGCCTCTAGTCCTAACCTTTGTCGACTACGAGAAAGCGTTTGACAGTGTCGAAATGAATGCAATCCTATCAGCGCTCGTCGACCAAGGACTGGGTCCGTCCTACAGAAGAACTCTGTCCGACTGTAATCGGAACTGCACTACGAAAATGCAGCTTTTCCATCAACCTCTTACCATACCCATAGGAAAAGGGGTTCGACAGGGCGGCACAATATCGCCAAATCTGTTCAGTGCCGCACTGCAGTGGATAATGAAGTCACTCGATTGGAATGGAAAGGCATACGTAATGATGGAAAATTTCTATCAAACCTTCGTTTTACCGACGACATTGTCATNGGAGAAAAGCCACCTGAAATTCTTCCGTCGGAGGTTCGAGTTGCGATAGAAAGCATGAAAAGAGGTACAGCTCCAAGACCCGATAGTATCACTGCCGGCTTCCTTGGAGCTGAGGGCCAAAATTTACATGTACTACTCGCAGATCATATGACAGACTTCCTTCAAAAGGACAAAATCGCAGAACAGTGGAGGACGTTGCGCACGGTCATCCTGCCCAAGAAAGGAGACCAAAAGGATCTTCGTAGCTATCATCCTATATGCCTATTGAGTGTGCTGTACAAGCTCTTCACGAAGATTATGCTCTTGCGCATATCAAGGACACTGGATGAGGCGCAACCAGTCGAACAAACGGGATTTCGGAAAGGATTTTGCTGCATGGACCACATCTATACCGTGTCCAGGGTCATCGAAGTTTGTCGGAAATACCACTTGCCTCTAGTCCTAACCTTTGTCGACTACGAGAAAGCGTTTGACAGTGTCGAAATGAATGCAATCCTATCAGCGCTCATCGACCAAGGACTGGGTCCATCCTACAGAAGAACTCTGTCCGACTGTAATCGGAACTGCACTACGAAAATGCAGCTTTTCCATCAACCTCTTACCATACCCATAGGAAAAAGGGGTTCNTGTACAAGCTCTTCACGAAGATTATGCTCTTGCGCATATCAAGGACACTGGATGAGGCGCAACCAGTCGAGCAAACGGGATTTCGGAAAGGATTTTGCTGCATGGACCACATCCATACCGTGTCCAGGGTCATCGAAGTTTGTCGGAAATACCACTTGCCTCTAGTCCTAACCTTTGTCGACTACGAGAAAGCGTTTGACAGTGTCGAAATGAATGCAATCCTATCAGCGCTCGTCGACCAAGGACTGGGTCCGTCCTACAGAAGAACTCTGTCCGAC